TTTCATCATTTTGTTGCCAATGCCACAAACATTAGGCGTGAATTAAATGTCACATAGTGTGAGGAGAGATACTCATTTTCTGTTTGGATTTGTACTAGGTGTTAATGTATGTGGCGTTGAACATGAGTTAGACAAAGGCCATCTGCCTGATTTGGGTCGGACGTGAGTTTTGCCATACCAGACACGAGAGAATGGGAGACTCTTTGCCTCAATCACATTAGGCGCGGGTAGTTTGGTGCTAAGTGCGAGTGAGATATGAAGCCCCTTCCTCAATGACATCAAGCATCCTATGAATGAAGTTGGGCGCAAGCATGAAAAGTAAGAACAAATCATTGATATAGATATAAAAAGAGAAATGTGTGTGTATATATATATATATATATATATATATATATATATATTCATAAAAGTTGAAAGATTATATCCAATTCCAAACAAGGAGTGATTTAGTTGTTCATTTCCATGGTAGCCTTCAAGAAAAAGATGGAAAAAAAGGAAGAAAATGTACTAATGATTTGATATTAAGCTCCAAAATGAGTGTCAAAAACAAAGTTTATCATGCCCAATATATTTGAGAAATAACTTACTAACAAGATGTATCTACTTGTCAATGCTTCATCAATTGAAAAATACACAGTTAAATGTGTTTAGGGTTTAGGGTTTATGTTGATTTGTGATAATAGTCGTAGCACAGATAGGAAATAGATGGAGCTGACCATGTACCATTCCATGTATTCTTGTGTGTGAAACAATGGGCCTTGCATTGGATGACCCATCAATGTGTGCTCACGTATGTTGTTCCATATGTCGACCCATATGGCCAGAACGACCCATTTCGAAATTAGAACGGCCCGTTCTGGTTTAACAGGGCATGTGTTTTTTTTGAATCTGGAATGGGTCGTTCCAGATTCAAAAATAACACTTGTCCAGTTGAACCAAAACGAGTCGTTCTGATTTTGGAATCGATCGTTCTGATCCATTCGTCATGTGTTATTTTTTCATCTGGAACGACTCGTTCTGATTTATTCATCATGTGTTATTGTTTCATCTGGAACGGCCCTTCAGAACGGCTTGTTCCGAACATGAATAGTAGTTGCGTCAATAAATTGGAACACTTGTTTTTTGGGTAATTTTTTTTTAAAAAAAATCATTTTAGTAAAAATTTCAGAAACTTAGATCTTGTGTGATAGGGTGTATGATATGCTAATAGGATTAGATGAATCTAATGGTAAATAAAAGTGGTGCATCCATACACCATTTGCATTAGTGGTCCATCAAAGAATTTACCGGTAAATATATGATAGGTTAAAACCCTAATTTAGTCCCTCATAATATTTGTTTGTTTCAATTTAGTCCCATTTTAATTTTTTGATTTCAATTTGGTCCCCAATAATTTAAATTATTGCAATGTCAGAATTTCGTCCAAATTATTTGGACGGAGTTAACTGTTGGCCACGTGGGTTCCATGTGAATGCATACGTGAATGCTTAATTTTTTCATGCATCTAGAACCAGAACGACCCGTTCTGAAACCGGAACGACCCGTTTTGGTTGCACTCATGGTGAGTAAATTTTGCATTTGAAACGGTCGTTCCAAATGCATTATTTAACACCAACAAGTGCATCAGAACGGGCCGTTCTGGTTTCCAAAACGGGTCGTTCCGGATTCAGAATGGGCCGTTCTAGAACGCCAACCAACACACAATGTGGTTCAAAGATAAAAACAAACCATTTACACATATATAATTTTTTTATCTAAAAAATAATATATTTTAAAAAAAAATTATATTCTAATAAATATATATATATATATATATAT